CACACACACACACACACACACACACACACACACATACATACACACACACCATTCTGGTGAGAGATGTTGATAACAAGGGAGGCTATGCATGTAGGGGGTGGGGAGGGAATATATGGGAAATCTCTGTAACTTCCTCTCAATTTTGTTGTAAACCTAAATCTGATATATATTTTTAAAAAAGCTCTTAAAAAAAAAGGTGGGTGACCAGCTAACAGCTCTGCCTTCAAGGATGTAACTGGCAAGAGCAAGACTGTTCTTCAACTCAAGCTAACTATAAGAAGCAGATGCCCACACCGCAGATATACTAAGAGGGGGTCCAGCTTTGTTCCTATACGGTCTGCACCTCTACTGAGCCTGACCCTCATCTCTGGCCTGGTGAGAATGCTGACTGCCCAATACTGCCATATCTTCAAGGCTTCACTGATTTGCTTCATCTAAAGCAGTGGTTCTCAACCTTCCTAATGCCGCGACACTTTAATACAGTTCCTCATGTTGTGATGACCCCCAATTTCATTGTTACAAATTGAACATAATTAAAGCATAGTGATTAATCACAAAAACAATATGTAATTATATATGTGTTTTCCGATGGTCTTAGGCGACCCCTGTGAAAGGGTCGTTCGACCCCCAAAGGGGTCGCGACCCACAGGTTGAGAACCGCTGATCTAAAGCATGTTTGTCTAAAAGATACTCACCTTATTCTAAGAGTAACTTAAAGGGAAAGGTTCCCTGACTTCTGGGTTATGGGCTAGATACCCCAAGAAGTATCTTCTGAAAGCTAGTCACTCTTCTGCAGCCATAAAAGGGAAATCCCATTGGTGATTCTATGAAACTAAAACAGGCCCCCTCTGGCCTTGTCCCTTTGGGGTGGCACAGGGACAATCTCACGAATATGGTGGCAAAGGGCTGAGTGGGGAGAAAGTGCTAGAGAAAAGTTTAATAATAGAGTTGGGTTGGGCGCAGCCCGTTTCCTTTTTCAGTTGCCCTGACCGGCTGCTCCCATTACGCGATGTGGCTGAGGCAGGGCGAGTCAGCTGCTGTGGAGACTCAAACCCAGGTCAGCCTGGGGGCCACGTCTCCTCAGGCCACCTCTGTGCAGGGTCCACATGCCACAGTCAGATGAGGCCCATGCACAAACTCACTGGGCTCACCTAACGCAGCCTCTCTATAAAAAGCCCGGAGCTGGCCGGGTAGACAGCCAGGCCGGAAGCCCCAAGGTTGACTGTCCTGCACCCATCGGCCTTCCAGCCCAGCCACGTGCCTTGCCCTCATTGTCTCTCTTGACTGTAGACTGCTATTTTGGGCTCTGGGGGACAAAGGGGAGCTGATGACTGCAGCAAGAAGCCCACATGGTGGGCAGGTTGGCGACAGGGCAGCTGCTGCCCTCTCTCCAGCCTCTCCCCGTCCCTTGGAAACCAACAAATACCATTCACTCAACAGTCAACATACGTGTGTGTATGGCCTGTGCACTGGGCTCCAGGCTGTGTGTTTTAGGTGTATTATTCCATCTACTCTCATACCAGTCTGAGGAGGCAGGCTCTATTATCCAAGACCCATCAGTAGGGCCAGGGTCAGCTCCCAGCTTTCTGATTCCTGTACCTCCACTCCCCTCAAGGACATCAGAATCATCCAAGAAAGTTCCCAACATTGCAGATGCCCATCAGCATCTCCAGAGTTGTAACCACTCATCTGCCCAGCCAGGACACAGCAGAGAGAAATATCCCCAGGGACACGCTGCCCCTAGAGACCTGGCATGTTGTGGCCCCTCCCCACTTCTCCTCAGAAATGAGCACCAGTATCCCACCCCGATGACGGAGTTCTGGGGGCAGAGCCAGATTCCAATCCTGACCTGGTGCTCTGTGGACCTTTACTATTTTCCACCTCAGCTGATCTGGGCTGATTGGTGGCTTGTCCTCTCTGGGCTTCAGCATCATTACAGGTACAATTGTCCATGATGGCATTCTGTGAATTCTCCATGGGCCATGCAAGTCACAGCAGTCAAGCACTGACTGTGGCAGGCCCCCTTCCTTCATACCATTACCTCACTGCTCCCCACTGCAACCTAGGAGGTGGGGTATCACTTCCATCCCCCTTCACGGATGAGAAACCGAGGCTCAGAGAGATTAAGGAACTTGCCCAGAGAGAGGCGTGGCAAGTCAAATCCAAATCCAAGATCTTAAGCACCAGGCTAGAGTGGATCCTTCATTGGAGCTTGTGTCTGCTCATAGTGGGCTGCGGCTGGTGGGGAGAGTGACTTTAGCCAACAGAGCAGGATGACCGGGGCACAGTAGATGTCCCAGATGTTGAGAACCATCCTCCGAGTCCTAGGAGCACTTGGACAGGCAGGACAGATCCACGTGAGCCCCATTTTCCAGATGGGGAGAATAAACAGGGTAGTCAAGCAGCTGGCTCATACAACTATCACAGCAACACAGAGGAATGTAGGACAAACCAGTCTCCCTACGCCAGTCCAGGGTCCACCATGTAGTTCTTCTGGACTGCTCTAAAATAGCCCTATCTCCCACCCCTGTGTCCTCCCCAAAGACAGGTGTCCACTGGCCCATCGAGGGGGAAAGTGACAAGCCCAGCAGCCCGACATGGCCCCACAAGGGAAGGGTCCTCAACTCAGCCCGAGAGGCACCTCTCTCCATTCCCTTCAGTTTAAAATAGGCCACCAGGATGCCTGCCAAGATCCAATGCTCTTGGCGAACAGGAGGGTTACACAGGGTGGGGCAAAAATAGGTTTACAGTTGTGAGAACACAAAACACAGAGTTCAGTCTTGTATTATTATTTATTAATCATTATGTTTGTATTTTCCATAGAAACAGCTGTACACCTGCTTTTGCCTGACCCTATATTTCTGGCTGTGCCCCATGAAACGCTGAACTGGGGAAGGCTTCCCAAACCAACAGCTGACCCTGGCTGTGATGACAAGACGATCCTGAGAGAGTGGGCCCGGGGCCCAGCTAGCGCCCAGCTAGCGGCAGGCTCTCTGCATGAGTACAGTAGGTGGGGCTCTGAGAGCACGCCAACTGCTATACAAGGACATGGCTGGGGGGAGCCCAGGGGGCTGGGATTTCTCCCTGGCCCCAGCAAGAGCTCACACTCGTGCAGGCATGTGCGCACACCTGCCGCGGATGAACATTCCTGCATGCCATTCCCTGGCCTGGAATGGGCTTCCCCCTCTGGCTGCCATCACCATTCTATCCAAACGCCGTTCTCGTCTCACCTGCTCCAGGAAGTCTTGCCAGAGGCTCCACCTCTCTCCAGCCACACCGGCACTGAAGGGCACGAAAGCCATGCTGCCCATGGGAATGGGTGTTGGAACTGCAGGTGTTTGGTCTGAGAGGGCTTAGGGGATGTGGCGAGGAACATGGTGCAAGTCTTAAATACAAGAAGGACTGACATGGTTCAGTGTCCGGGCTTATTCTATGAGACTCTGGAGGGCAGAATAGAGTCCCCAAGGGTTAGAACCCATGAGATGAAAAACGATCCCTTGGTCGCACTCTCCCAGAACCCAGAACTGACCGACATGGTGGCTGCCACTAGAAGGCTGGGTGGAGACCCCATGGCCTCCTGCAGGAACCTCTGCTTTGGGGCGGGGGCTGTCCCAGCTACTTCCTGCTCTGTGTTTCCATATTACATGGGAACTCTCTGAGAACAGGGTCCTCTTTCTGGTCAGCTCTCCCAACTCAGAGCCCAGTGGGCACTCAGCAGAGTGCCGAGTGTTAATGGTCAAAGTGGGGGCAGGAAGGCAGGCATCCTGGGGTGGGAGGCACTGAGAACCCACTGTCCTCTGTGTCCTCCTATTCTTTTTTTTCTATATATTTTGTTAATGATTTCAGAGAGGAAGAGAGGAGAGATAGAAACATCAATGATGAGAGAGAATCATTGATCAGCTGTCTCCTGCGCGCCCCCTACTAGGGATTGAGCCTGCAACCCGGGCATGTGCCCTTGATCAGAATCGAACTTGGGACCCTTCAGTCCCCAGCCCGATGCACTATCCACTGAGCCAAACTGGCTAGGGCTGTGTCCTTCTATTCTTTATAATTAAAGGTGTCCTTTGGAACAAAAGACTCTCCTCCCACATATACACCTAGAAACTCATCAAAAGGTGAACAGTAGTTATCTCTGGACAACAGCATTATGAGTGATTTTAATTTATGCACTTTTTTACTTCTTCATTATTTTCAATATTCTACAATGACCACATACTAATTCTAAATCAGAAATAAAAAAATTTTTAAAAAACAACTTCTGCCCTGGATGGTATTTCTCAGTGGTTAGAGCATCAGCCCATGGGTTTGATTCCCCGTCAAGGGCACATACCGGGGTTGTAGGTTTCATACCTGGCCCCAGTCGAGGCGTGTGCAGGAGGCAACCAATCGATATGGCTTTCTTACATTGATGTTTCTCTCTCACTCTCTGTGTCTCTCTTTCCCCTCTCTGTCTCCTCCTCCCTCCCTCCCATCTACTCTCTTTAACAACAACAAAAAAAAAATCAATGGAAAAAAATAACCTCGGGTGAGGATTAACAAAAAAGTTTTTGAATTAAAAAATAAAAAGAACCAACTTCATTCTCCCCTCTCAGATACCCCCATCATTAGTCAAGATCAGCCCCTCAGAAACCTCTACCATCCCCTTCCCCACGCCATTCCCTGGCACAGTCGCACACACCAGGGGAGAGAGGCAGGATGCAAGTGTATTGCATTTCTAGGTCAACTCCCTGCTGGGAAAGTAACAGCACTTGACTTCCCTGTCTTTCAGGTGGGACGCCTGTGTGACAGCATGTGGCACCCAGCAGCTGCACACTGAATGTTATTTTCCTTCTCAAGGTCCTGAAAGTGGTCTCTGCCATTTCTGGTCATGTGGCCAAGGCTCCCTAACCACTCCAAGGACAGCCTTCGATCTTTAACATGCCTGCAGCCTCTTTAAGGAACCCTTGATGGCTCCGCAGTAGAATGAGACAGAGGTGTGCAAGGGGAGACAAGCTCCAGCAGATGTGGGGGAAGAGATGGGACGGAGGTGCCAGTCTGGTCAGAGACCAAATGGAGGGGCAGGAGCAACTGGCCTGTGGTCAGAAGTCTCCCTTCATTCTCCTGGCTGGGCCCACCCCCCACTTTGCCAATTCTGAGCAATGCTTATTGAAATGCAGTCTACAGAGGGTACCTATTCCTTTTTGGTTGTATTTTAAAGTCACAAACTAGAAGCTTCTAGAGACCCCTCGTTGCTTTCTATGTTGTGGGGGGTGAGGTCAGTACCCTCAGGCCCTGCCTGTGTAACACTCCCTTGTTTATTATAACTGATCTGCTGTAGCGGTAACCTTCCTCAGGACAGTGTGAACCACTGTGCACTAGTGATAACCGCTGCTCCAACTCGCTACTGCATGAAGCTGGTGTGTTGTGGTAGGAGTGCAGGGGTGAGGAGGGCGGGGCTTTGCTGTGGGGACTAGGTAAGTGGGTAACAGTTGGGAGTTTGGGACCATTGGAGGGGAGAGAGAGAGAGAGAGAGAGAGAGAGAGAGAGAGAGAGAGAGAGAAAGGGAGAAAGAAAAAATTTAAAACAAAAAGGAACTCATGATGGTATGAAGCCAACAATCAACAGTCAGAAGATCCTTCAGAACTCTGATACTCTGATCTTGGGATGGATGGTACTGATCACACACATCATTGTGACAACTCCCAAAACGTGGGGGCAGGGGAGGGGTGGGGAACGATGAGAAAGAAAGAGGAGAAGAAAAGAGAGGCCAGATGAGATGAGAGAGTATGTGAACCAGAGCACAGTGACATCCCCACGGGCCACCCTGTCTGCCTCACTCCACCTTCAGTCCCTCCCAGCTGCAAGCCCCTTCTTCAGGGCAGGTCGACGTGCACATCACAGTCATTACCCTGGCCGTCCTGGGCCTGGTAACCTATGATCTGCACAGAGGCCCGAGAGCCGAGCTCTGCATACCTCCAGCGCTCCGTCATAGCACCAAGAAACGCTTCTCATGTCACAGACACGATGCCTGAGCCAGCTAACCTGGGATGGGCCATATCTGTGGCTGCTGATAAGCTGACCTCAGCACGGACAGCGGAGCCTGGGGTGGGAGCAGAGACAGGGCTTCTCGTGGTGCGTCTGTGCAGCGGGAGTGTTCCTGTGTGTGTCAGCTGTGGCAGAGCCACGGGAGGAGGGAAATGGCCCTGCCCTCGAGGTGCCCCACCTCTAATGGGGAGACTCCCTCTCACACAGCAAACACACCAGACACACACAGGCAAGTGAGAAAGTGAGACGTGCAGTCGATGTCTAAAAAGCTGTGAACTCCTCATTCTGGGAAAACAAAGCTGAAGGGGGATTAGATCAAAATTTGTAACATCATGAAGGAGATGACAGAGCCAACACAGACCTACCAGACACATTCCGAAATAGAATCTCAGGCATCCCTGAAGCTTGAAAGAAACCATCTGAGGACAAATAAAAGGCAGCTCAGCTTTACACAATGGGCAGAGGCAACGGACTCCCTGTCAGGCAGGTGGCACAGGATAAAAACATGGCCTAAGATCAAGAGAGCTCAGGTAAATGCATGGATGACAGAACCACATGGACCATTAAAGGAGGCAGGGATGCCGGGGCACCAGTGACCTTCACTGAGCACTGAGAGACGGGCCGCTCACCTAGCATGGGTAGCCCTGCCCAGGCACCACGTGGGAGGAGAAGGAGCAGGCGTATTGCTCAACACGGTGTGGAGGAGAGGAAAGCACACAGGACTCTGAGTCAGACTTGGGAGTTCAACTCCTCGCTCTATCACTCACTCGAGGGCTTTGATCAGACTACATAACCTCTCTGGGGCTGTTTCCTCATTTGCAAAATGAAGGTAAGAATGTCTTCCATGTAGGGATAACATGAGGATAAAACCAAATACCACATGAGAATCCCGGGGATAGTGCCTGTCATGTGGGAGGCACGCAGCAAGTAGCCACTAACCATGATCCATATTCACTTGACGGATAAATCAGATGTGAACATGCCCACAGGAACATCAGCATGCACTTAAATAACCAAGGTACGAGTGAAAACTATTAAGGATTGTAAGAGACAGAGAGAGTGGAAGAAGAGCTAAGAGATTCTACCTTGAGGAGTCATGGAAGAAGTGGCACTTGAGATGAAAACTTCAAGGAAAAGAGGATGGGCATGTAATATAGAGATAATTGGTATGGAAAGACTCATGGACAGGGAGGAGAGTGGGAGCCATATAGCAACATGGACAGGAAGTGGAACAGAAAAGGACATCTGAGCACTTCCTGTGGACCAATCAGGGTGCTGTGTGTGACAGGCAGGAACAGGGAACTGTGAGGGGTGTGTGTGGTCTGCAGGGTGCCTGAAGTCATCAAGAGAGTGACTCAAGGTTGAGAGGCACAGGCGATGGAGATGGAGGAGCATGAGCTCTGCTAGTTTCTGAGGGGTGTTGGTGGTGGTGGTGGTAGTGGAACCTCGTGTGGGAGTGGAGAAGAAGAATCCAGCAGCTGTGAATAGAATGAACTAAGAGAAACTGGGGACAGGGAGATCAGCAGAGAACCTAATGAGTGGGCAAGGAGTGAGCAAGTGAATCCTGAGCTAGGGAAATAGCTGTGCAAATGGACAGGTGGGGCCAAGGGGAGGGGCTGACAGAGGTTTGGAGCCTGAGAGCTGAACAGGCAATGGACCTGTTACTAAACCAAACAATAGAGGACCAAAGAGGGCTTCTGAAGGAAGAAGATGAAACTAGTGTAAAGAATCAGTGGAAGGTGCACATGGAGAGACCGAGAAGCAAGTGGAAGTGTGGAGAGAGAAGTCTGCAGATCTGGTGTCAGAAGATCCAGCCCAGCCACATTGTATCTTCAAAGTTAAATCCTTTTGGGGTATAACCAAACAAACTGTCACTTAATCATTCTGTGCTTTGGTTTTATCATCCAAAAAATGAATGAATTATTCCACTTCACGGATGATTGTAAAGAGCAGACGTAATATATGTAAAGATGTAAACTACACAAGCACTTTATGAATGTCGGATGTTATTATCAGAGTTCAAGGCTGAAACCAAGAGGCTGGACAGCTTTGACAAGGGACAAAGAGAAGAGTAAGAAGGGAAAGGGCCAGGGGGGGAATTCTCATGGATGTTAGGTCAGGGCAAAAAGCAACCCTGGAGAAAGTGAAGAAGCAGAAGAAAAACCAGGAGAGCATGACATCTCAAAAGTCAAAGAAAGAGAGCGGTATCTCCCAGAAAGGGCACCTATGCTGCCAGCCCTGGCCGGCACCACCCAGTGTTCCACAAGGAACAACTCCCTCATCTGTCCCGAAAAGGAGGACAATTTCAAAGGTAAGTAGAGTACCTGCCAAGGGGAATCTC